GATTGCTGGATACGATTTCATGCGACAAAACGTTGGAATCTTGATTTTTAGGCGCTAGTAGAACATACCCACGCGCTTTGCGCTCGGCATGCAATACTCACACCCGTTACTCAGAGGGGTGGACAGCCAATATTTCTGTTATCATTAGCCTATACCAGTCCACAGCTGAAAGTTTGAAGTTAGAAATATTTAGGCAAATTCGTCACGCTTGGCATCCACCGTCTCGCATCTAGATACTTACCTGTTTGTGTGTTTGTTTTGAATAAGAGTTGATTTTGAGTTTTTTTTTATAGGATAGGGTGACATACGAGCACACAGTCAACCTGATGGTAAGTGGTTGCTGTGACATCTAAATCTAGACAGATTACGAACTTTCATTTGGCACGATGCTGACACACCTCTCTCGTCTCTTTCACGTCCATGTAGGAGTACCTACGTACAAACATTCGTCTGTGAAGGGTACGTCAATTTACAAAAGTAGCTGTCGATTACCAAATTTTATATTATTATGGTTGTAGCAGGAATGGGTCGCCTCGACAGGGGAAGGTCCACGTACAGAATACCAGCGTAAAATGGCAGCTCAATGCTGCTGGTGAGTGTAGAGAACTGGAGACCCTTTTTACTTGAAAGGAGGAGGTATTTCATTTTAGTCCACAGGGATTTTTTTTATAGGAGAGGGGGCAAACGAGCATGCGGCTCACCTGATGGTGAGTGACTAACGCCGCCCATGAACAGCTGCAACACCAGGGAGGGAATCGCAGATGCGTTGCCGGCCTTTTAAAAAGGAGTACGCTCTTTTCTTGAAGGTCCCTAAGTCGTATCAGACCGTAAAAATCGCTGATGGTAATCGATTCCACTAGGAAGTCGTGCGAGGAAGAAAACATCTTCTAAATCGCACAGTGGTGGACCGCCAATCATCCAGATCGTGTGGATGGTATCGGGAGTTCTGCCGCGATGTGCGTTCGTGAAATTTGGCGGCTAGGATTAATCCGAACAATTCCTCAGAGCACTCCCCGTGGTAGATGCGAAAGAAATGCAAAGGGATGCAACATCTATTCGCAGTGCCAATGAATCGAGCCGATCGGAAAGGACTCGGGCGTCGACGATTCGAGCCGCTCTGCACTGGATGCGGTCAAGTGGAAGGAGCTGGCACTGGGGAGCCCCTGCCCAGAGATGGAAACAGTATTCCATGTGAGGCCGAACCTGCGCCTTGTAAAGTTGCAGACGGTGTGCCGGCATGAAATACTGTCCCGCTCTGCTGAGCACGCCAAGCTTTTTAGAGGCCAATTTGACCTTCTCTTCCAAGTGACCACGAAACTGCACGTCACTCGATATGTCGACTCCGAGGATTCCGATACTGGCTGAGGCAAGAAGGGGAGTGCCTTGAAACTGAGGAGATATGACAAAGGGGTTCTTTTTAGCGGTAAACGTGCAAACTTGTGTCTTCTGAGGATTAAACTGGACTAAATTTAGTCGCCCCCAATCCGAGACTTTGTTCAGCAAAGACTCGACTTCTGATACAAGTTTGTTCCGGTACTCGGCGACGTTTTCCCGAGAAATATTGGCACGGCCGGTGTATAGAGCATCACCAGTGCTGTCATCCGCATAGCAATGAATGTTACCAGTTAGCAACATATCATTGATATGCTGAAGAAACAGCGTTGGTGATAGCACACAGCCTTGTGGAACAGCAGCGTTAATAGGCTTGTAGTCGGAGCATGCACCGTCTACAACGACCTTGATGCTCCGATCTGCAAGGAAGCTGGTGATCCAATCGCACAATTTCTCGGGAAGCCCATAGGAAGGGAGCTTCGAAAGAAGCGCTTTGTGCCAAATCCGATCGAAGACCTTCGCAATGTCCAAACTAACGGCCAACGCCTCCTCTTGGACTCTACTGCTATCTCTGCCCATCTATGGGTCAGGTAGACCAGAAGATCACCAGCTGATCGACCCCGACGAAAACCGTATTGGCGGTCACTAATCAGCTGGTGATCCACAAGGTACCGCATGAGGTGGCAGTTAATAATTGATTCCATTATTTTGGAGAACAAGGAGGTGATCGCGATAGGCCTATAGTTGGATGGGTCTGAGCGGTCGCCTTTTTTAGGGATCGGGTGGACAAACGCTGTCTTCCATGAGTTCGGAACTACGCTTTGGGAGTAGGAGTACCGGAAAAGACGTGTTAGGACCGGTGCCAACTCCGGAGCACACGTCCTCAGCACAGTTGGGGGGATTCCGTCAGGCCCACTCGACTTCTGGATGTCCAGGGAGAGGAGTGCTTTGCGAACCGAGCGCTGTGAGAACAGCACATCCGGCATGGAGCACTCACACCGCGGGATGGTCGGCGGTGTTTTCCCCCCGACATCAAGAGTAGAGTTGGACGCAAAAAGGGAGCCTAAAAGGTTGGCTTTGTCTTTTGCGTCTTGGGCCAGTGAGTCGTCCTCCCTGTGCAGAAATGGTAGTGATGGCTTACAGAAATTCCCTTGGACAGCCTTGGCGAGAGACCAGAATGCACGGGTTCCTGAAGGAAGGCGAACTAGTTTCTCGCCAATTCTGCTTATGTGCTCTGACTTTGCCTTGGCAATAACTCTTTTGAAGGACCTGGAGGAGAAGTTATACTTCCTTATAAGTGTAAAATTATGGGATTATAACGCATCTGCATTTTGATTCTTAATGTATGTATGGGCCACAGCATTCACTTACCATCAGGTGGACTATGTTCTCGTTTGTCATAAAAAAATCTATGAACCATAGGTTACCGTAATGAATAATTACATTAATATTAGATATAAAGATAAAAAAAAACAAGTATTTAGTAAGAACTTGACTCGGATCATAAAAAGAAACGAGATACTTATATGTCATGTTGGGCTATTGCCAAGAAGGAGTAATGAGATATGAGCAAAATAATTATACAGCTTACAAATTCTGATACCGTCCATGAAAATGTTTCATTTAACGTTTGGCAGCATAAAAGTGAGCAAAAACAGAAGCGCTGAAGAAGACTGCAAGTCAAAGACAAAGCCTATCAAAAGTTCACTGTTAAGCATATGCCTCTCCAAATAATAGGGTTATTTGCTATAGTTGCCATGCTTAGCAGGGGGGGGGGGGGGGGGTTGGTAATCGCTTTTATTTATATTCTAGTATTTATTAGGAAGACGCTGCGGCCCATATTCTGTTTTGTTCCTTCTGTCGCCTCTTCGACACCTACAGGACAGATATTCTTACACTTCCACTACAAGTCAAGTCTCATTTCGTTTACACCAGGCACAGCCACGCTTCAACTATATTATGTCGGTCGGTTCGACCAGGGAAGCACCATGTCCTCACATAATGCCCGCGTCAAATAGCCTCCTAATGCTGTGGTGTATACTCGTTTATCACCCTTATTCTCTAAAAAAAAACTTCGGCTAATCATTTATATTCCGCTTGTGCGGTGAACATATTTTCCTTGTTTTTATCATCTCTGAATTATGCTTTTATACATCGTTGAGCTTATGACGTAAAAATACTCTTGCATGACTAAGGTGAACTCTATTTATTTGACATATATGATGTAAAAAATATTACGCTATGACCCCGAATTAGTGTGAAACTGTGTTTCTCACATATAATTGCGCTGTTAATTTATGATTTAACTTATAGTTCATATAATACAACTAATAATGTACCCCACATTATAAGTTAATAATCAGAATTACTTAAGACAACAAAAAAATGTTATAAGCTTAAGTATTCCAAAAGTGATATAGGCTGTAAGAAAGCACTGTCCACAACTACTCTAACACCAACAATGTAACAAAGGTGTAACAATGGTGTAACAATGCCGCAAAGCTGCGTCCTATAAAACTTTTTTAAAATTAATCGTAGATTCAAAAGAGGATGTGTAGTAATATAATTTGTTTGTACGAATCATTAGTTTTCCTAAGTAGGTACTAACGGGAAATAAAACAATATTTTCTTAATAATCTCTTGTATTTACACACATTCATTATTACAAGTAACTTGAATTTGCCTTTACATTTAGCGGTCAAATCGACGTAGCTAAATGTCTATTATCACATGCAAAAATAGATTCTAAAATCTATACCGTACAGTGCTCATTTTAATTTACCTTACATTAATATAATGCCGTAAATTAAACTGAGTTTTAATTTTATCATAATTTTCTTTTTTTTAATGTCATAATTCTTCAGACATCGAGCCGTACTATAGCTCAAGGGATAAGCTTTCGCAATGTTTGCACTTGCAATTAAGTGCTGATTTACCAAGTGCTCGACGGAAAAAGAAAACATCGCGAGGTCCGCCAGAACATTTGTACAATCCGTCAACCGCCCCAACACACATTGTAGCTGGGGTTGCCAGATTGAGAAACCAAAATATCTGGACAATAATATAAAATTGCTGGACAAACTAAACATCATAAGTATATTAATCAACAGAAACCTTAGAGCATACATAAGCAAGGTATGCTTATTTTAATGACTAAAAATAAATAAAACTGCGGTTGCCAAGTGCGGCAACTATGGCAAAACAGTAGGACGTACAGAGGCTGTAACTGTAATTAATTTTTAAGCACATAGTACCTGAGTATCTAACGACACTTTTCTCTAGATGCTATCAGAAACCATCACTTTCACAAGACAACATGATATCCAATATTGGTTAATCGTGTCTGAAAACACTGGCGTCATTAGTTCAGACCAAGAAACAAACAGTTTTTGGACTTTGGGACTACAGGTACGGCGATAGCTATAAGCGCCGTCTGTATTGGCCCTAAGACTTCATTTCCAACATCTATTAAAAATCAGTACTTAAGCCCATTGTAGGTCCGATAGCTAAGACGGAATTAGATTTTTTTATAAACCCGCAATTTATTTTTACAACGTAAAAATATTTTTGTTTTTTTTTTTTTTTGGTCATACGTTACAACGTTGAAGATATTGTTCATTGCGCATAACGGAAACAATTGCAAATTTGTTTCAACAGTTTTTTTTATTAATTTATGACAGGCAATCTTGCAGTAACGAATTCTGCCAATGTCAAGTCTTCTTTCTTTCTTTGATAATGGACTCTTACGTTTTTACTTCTGCCAGTATCAAGTAATTATTAATTATCCTTTATAGTACAATTCTTTACAATATGTTGCGATGTTTTTGGGAGATTTTAACGGCAGCTCGAACACTCGATGACGTCAGTAGCTCAAGGCACCTGAGCAGACACATTATCTTGAGGTTCACTTCACCATCAGAGCACTTGTTTCATCGTTTCCACTAATAGTTCAACTGCGCAGACAATAAACAACATTGCACCACTTTTACGTATAGAGTCAAGTTCCCGCCAAAACCTTGTTTCAACAGTTATTCAGTGTTAAATCCTGCGTCACCGGACTGGTATCAGTGATTTTCGGCATATCCCTATTATCCTGCGTTAGTGGATCATTTTTCACTTCACAGCTCGTGACTGTGACGGTTTCTTTACTAACGTCACTGCTACTCGTCGGAACAGTTACGATATAACCGGTGCCAGGCATAGCGTTAACAGTCTGTATCGCGACCGGCACACCTTCTAGAACCACCTTGTTTTCTAGCGGCATTTCGGAGGGTAGTTTTAGTTTTGCGGTCATTATTAAGTTTATAATATCCATTTGTAGTTTTGTGCAGAGGTCTTTTGGCATTTTTTTAAGGAGGCAAGTAATGTAAGTGCCGAATTTTTCTATCTGATCATCATCATCGTCGACCTTCTTGTTTCGGAGCGGATAATCGTCGGATGATGAACTGTTTTTCCGTCTCTTCACCTTCTTTAAAATAGGAGTGGGGGAATGCTTCATAGAAGGCCGTCTTTTCATGATGAACTGCGCATCACGTTTTGGCGTCTTTCTGGTTTCGTCTTCTAAGTACACCACTTCAGTGTAGGTTTCATTTTGGTCTTCGTCGTTTTCGGATTCATCGTCGAAGTCCTGGAATGGAAGTGAATATTAATTTGTTTACTAAAGTCACGAGACTATTCTTGACGCAGCGAAGTTCGATGTAAAGAATCTCACAGAACACCAGTGTAAAATAGTAGCTTAATACGAACGAAGAATTCCTTCTTAGTCCTACTTCCAGTGGCGGTATAAGGGGGAGGGGAGGTGTGTCAAGCACCAAGAGGTGACAACGACTACTCACTCGCACCTCCGCAAAGACATACCAATAAATAAATAGCTACCTAGTATTATATACCTGGACACAAAAATTATATCTTAATTTGTATTGCAAATTTATTTTTATTTACTTTCTAACATAATTTAATAAATGAGTTCAGTTCAGGTTAGGTAGCGCTTGATCGAGTAACGCGTACGAAGAAGGTACATGTCACACGCGCGTAACGTGCCTGACACTCGACTGAACCGACTCGAGTAAATATAATTTAAAATTAAACATTTTGTACAACCGACTTCAATATAAATGATTAAGAATAACTCAAAAACCATTGGTCAGGCCTTGATCATATGGGACCACATGTGAAGCACCAGCTTTCAAATAAAAAAAGCATCATTGAAATCGGTTCGCCCAGTAAAAAGTTTACGTCATAACTTTTTTTAACTTTAACACACAAAAAAACAGACAGTCGAATTGAGAACCGTCTCCTTTTTGAAGTCGGTAGAAAATAATAAAACGTACCTAGTACACTGGAGTGAGCCACGACACAGCCACAGAAGAGTATAATAGTACTGAAAACGTTTGCCAGGAAAAATAACACGAGATGCTGGACTAACGTAGACAGAGGAGCTGCAGAGAGCTGTTAGAATGTCTTGACAGATTTTACGAAGATCTAGACCATCGTTACATGGCAATGGATAATATTCTCGTAACATTTACTGTTTGTTTAGGCTAACACTCTGCTAACGTCACCAGATCTTCGTGTAATAGTTTCAAATCTACGATGAATTTTCTGCAGAAGACATAATTTTGCAGATTTTACGACTGAGGCGCCACTTCTTACGGTAGCGGTTCAATGGACTTAATTTGATCTTCTCAGATTCATCGTAAAACTCATTTTATCCCAATATTCTGAGTCTGTTCCGAATCTAGCGTTGTGTCTGAAATGTTTTTTAACTATTTTTGCTTCGGTAGCTTCATGTGAAAGAAGCTTGTTAGATTAACAATGAGCCAAGAGTGACTAACCAATCTTTCCATTTTATCTATCGAAAAGGACAAGAAACTAAATTTTGATAATGTAATTGAATATTTAAAGTCGTGTAAGCATGTTTAGCATTTTTGTTTTATTTTGGGGTGCTTTTGAGTGCCAGCCCACGCTACGCCGCCACTGCCTAATTCACTTTTGATTTCGTTATTTAATTTAAGATTATATACTTTACTGGCAAGACAAATGATAGTGTCTTTAAATCCCACAGGACCATCTACATCTCTTAAGCACTTGCGCACACACTCTTGCACTATAATCTTGTGTTGCACAGATGGCTAGTCTCCATTGAGACCGGTGTGACCGATATTCAGTCTGGAGGACATAATTACTCACCTGTACAAGTTTCGGATGATTCTCTTTTAAATGTTTTTTGAGTTCTTTGGCACGGTGCGGTAAAGTGGCTCGACATACTACGCAGCGCGCCCTCCCACCAGTTTCCTGCTCGAAGAAGCTCCACACATCAGCCGCTGATGTGGACTGGTTGGATTCATCATCTGCCCGAAGAAAGAAATACGCATCAGTACAAGTTTCATACGTGGTAGAGCCACGTTACAGCCATATTATGGTGTTAGGACCACACCCTCACAGCATACCAGCGTAAAATAGCAGCTTATGCTATGGAAAGTGTAGAGAACCATTTCCTGGAAACGAGGCATCCCCTGAGGTCTAAGATGGAATGCCAACGAATCTGCGTTTTGATTCTTAAACGAGGATCTTAAGTGCAGGTTAAAATTGTTTAGATGAAATCACATCATGCTGAAGTGAACAGCCTGTAGCTATTAGCTATTAAGTACTAAAAAAATATATCGGAGTCATGAACGTATTTTTATTTTTCTGAAACGCAAGATCCCTCATTAAGATTCCTCTCACCGCGGAGCACGTGGTAACTCAGCTCTTAAAAAAGGGGGATCGAACGTGGGTCACTCGCCTTCTGTCAAATTTACAGCGAGTGCTTAACCCTTAAACTACCGCAACTCTTATTAACTTTTTTATAGAATAAGGATAATAAACGAGCACATATTCTACTTGATGGAAAGTGGCCCATAGACATTTACATTTATGCTCAATTAAGAATCAAAATGCAGATGCGCTGTCACTTCTGATGACTGCGATGAATTGCCTGCCAGTATTAAGTAATATTAAAAAAAAAAAAACAACGCGGGCACTCATTGCGAACGGACGTACTTATGTGACTATCGCTATCATTAATTTTGCATAATGACTGGATCTGGTCATAGTTATTTAAGTAAGTAAAATTGTGACGGCTGTGATTCCTGGATACATGATAAGTCTTAGGTACACGCAGTGCTCACAGCAAACATGTAAGAGGTTGTATCACCTAAATAGCCTGATTATAACTACAGAAGATTTTAAAGAATTACTGTCAGAAGAATACAAAAGTATGTAGATATGCTCAAGCAAGCATTCTATTCCAAAATGAGAAACTCTAATATCGAGGGCTGCGGTTACGACGGTTGGTTCTTTTCACACATAAACACAGACTATCGCGAAATATAGCGTAATTGCAAATGTATATACACTTTGCTGTATTCTTGTATAGTTAATTCTTCTTGTATCTAAACCACACAAGAGCGAGAGCGATTACGCGAGATGTAGGCGGTGCGGTTGTTTTCATGACTTGCAAGCTTGTGACCACACAGTATAACACCAATTAACACATCAGGCTGCACATGTTAGGCGTAAAAGGCAGTAGATAGGAAACCCGGAAATGGGCTTTGCAGTACTCTTATTGGGCAATAATTAACGAATCTCATAAGCGTTAGGCGGTAGTTTCAAAATGGCGCGAACACAACGTGTCCCAAAACTCAAAGTCAAGCGGGCACGTGGCACTTATTTCAGACCACATTAGTGATAACATCACTGTAAAATTGAGAAATTTGTCACAATACCTAATGGTATGATTTAAGGTCATTTTCGACGATCCGAGCTAATCTTATAATGGACAAGACCTTTACACCAAGCAGCTATGTAAATACCAAGGGTGGCAGTCATCCGATGGAAGTTTAAATGATTGATAATGAGAGAAGAATGCTAGAAGAACTCCGTGAATTTCGGTTGGAAATTAAATCACGAATAAATATTCAAATTAAGCGATTCCTCAAACTCGGTTTCAAACTACCGAAACAAAGTTACAAGAATTGTGTGATTATGAAGGTAGTTCAAGAAAAAGCAAACAAAGTAGATGGAATTAGGGTCTAAAATGAATGCTTTGATAGAACGAAATCAGCAACTGGAAACATGTTTAAAATTGAAAAAGTCTAAAAAAATTATGACACTGAAACAACACCAATCCCTGAGGGTCCTTTACTGTCTTTTACAAAAGCAGTAAAACGGAAGAAGGCGGTGGATAATGTTAACTTAAAAGAAAGTCGAAATGGGCAGACTTTACTAAGATGGATAATAATATACAAATGATGAGAAAGGAAAAAGAGTAAAACTTTTTTAATTCCCGAAGTTTAAATTAGTTTCATTTGATGTGTAGTGTTCGCATAAATATAAGAAATGTCAAAGGCCACTAAGGCCACATCGCGTGCCGAAGTACGCCGAGTATCGATACCGAGTCACATAAACACACATTTGAATCAGTTTGTGCTGCAGTTTACCTACAAAACCCATTTCTGTTTTTGTTGTTTTTTTTTGTTATGGAATAAAGGTTGCTTCGCCGAGTGAATAATTTCTTGTATTTTAATTGTATTATACAATGTCTTGGTCAGAAGTCATTTGGAAACACAATGTAATTGTTTGGCCCCAACACGAACGTAATATAATAAATAAAATATAAGCTAATGTTAGACAGGGTACATAGTAAATTTGGGAGATATTTGTATATGAAATATTACGACGTGAACCCATTATCAGTTGTTGCGCTGGGGGGCTACGGGTTCGAATCCCGCACGGAACAAGTATTTGTATGGCCTACAAATAATTGTTCCGGGTCTGGATGTTTGTCCTTGTGCAATTTATGTTTGTAAACTGCCTCCACGACACAGGAGAAATCCTAGTGTGGGGGTGACGTTTTTTAAAGAATAATTATATCGCTTTATATATCCAACATTATTTATTAGGAACTAGCTGTTCCCCGCGACTTCGTCCGCGTGGAATTTATTCAGATTGGAATAATGGGTTTTATTTTCTTGCGCGGAATCCAAATTCTTGTCGAAAACAACTGTAGCCTAATTTACTCCTTATATCATAAGCTATCTGCCAGTGAAATTCACGTCAAAATCGGTCCAGCCGTTTCAGAGATTAGCGGGAACAAAGAGACAGACAGACGAACAAAAATTTTAATAATTGTTTTTTTTTTTGTTATAAGTAACGTATACTTTCATATGCATTTAGTAAAACGCAGTTATTTTGATATTACATACAGAAATTTGTATAGATAATAATAATACAAAGCTTGTATAGATGGTCTGATATAACGAATTTAGGGTTAGGACAGAACTTACTCTGGTTCCGGAAGGATACATAGGGAGACGGTGACGGCCACAACTGCTTGCCGGATGGACAAACTTAATGGGTAATTGTTGAACGTGTAAGTATTGAAATAAATAAATATAATACTCCAAAATACTTAATTTTATTATGGCATAAGAATGCTAAAAAATACTAAGCAGCATAAATAATTTCTTTGTAATATGTATACAATATCAATTGTTACACATTTGTCAGCAGTGCTGACCAGGCCTCTGTCACTCTTGCTACCTGCGTAAAATAATTACCTACAATTGCGAGCTGCCCCAGGGGTAGATCGCAGTCGAGGCTAGCGCGCTCTATACGATTGAATGTTAAAGTTTTTTTAACGCTGTTTACGTAAATAATATTTTGTAAATACTTGTTGAAATACTCGTCAAAATAGTTTTTGTTTAGTGTTTAGTATATTTAATTGTAGGATAAAATAGTTGAAAAAGTTTTAATGTAATTTAAAAATAATATATGTGTATATTATTGTGGCTATTATAACTTAAAATATTTTAATTACTAGTACGAGTATAGGTATGTAAGTAGGTACGTTGGTAGTGAAGTAAATTTCAACTAAGTTTTGTAATAAAGTACTTAGGTATTACTTGTGTAGTTAAATTATTACTTAATTATTTTGTCGCTATAAGTACCTATCTAACAAAAAAATGAAATAAATTTACCTTTCATTATCCTTCGGTAACTCAAAAAACGATATATCTGAATCCTTTTAATTGCTCATTAAGCATCCATCCCCGCAACAATTATAGTAGGAACGACGTTTTGCCATTATAATTTATCAAATAGATAGGCAATATACACATATATTATTCTTAAATTACATTAAAACTTTTTCAACTACTTTATCCTACAATTAAATGTACTAAAAACTATTTTGACGAGTATTTCAACAAGTATTTACAAAAAATTATTTACGTAAACAGCGTTAACATTCAATCGTATAGAGCGCGCTAGCCCCGACTGCGATCTACCCCTGGAGCAGCTCGCGATTGTAGGTAATTATTTCACGCAGGTAGCAAGAGTGACAAAGGCCTGGCGATACGCAGAACGGTAGGCATATAACGCAGGGCCTTGAGCGAATGGCGGCGGCCTGCTGATGGCTTCGCACATTTGCACATACGCCACAGATTACTAAATAGTTTTGCGTACGCGCCGAACACAAATCTTTTGTATTGCCAACAACTTTTGCAGGTTTTTCCAACCACTGGTGTGACATTGAATGCTCGGAATCGCTCGGATCGCTATGGAAAAAAAATGTTGTAATAGCTTGCTTATTGGCAGAGAAAGAAGAAAATAAAATTCGAAGAAAAAGAAGATTCTAGATTCACAATATTAATTTAAAAAGGCAGTTGTATAATATTATACTTTATGAAAAGACTTATTAGATGATGATGAACAATTTTTCATATATTTGCATTTGACATGCAAGTAATTTCAAGAGTTACTACTTATACTAAAACCTATATAAAATATATTTCGAAATGAAAGTCGAAACCACCAGTTTAGTGGAAAATGTACTAAGTTGGCGACACTGAGTATTAACACGCGTCGTTTGACATCACCAGCATGCCGCCTTTAACATTTGGATACTTACCGCATTTTATAAAATGCACCTACACCGTACGCGCCGGTGAGTGTGAGAGATTTTATATGATTTCATACAACGAATTCTAACACGCGGTATGTACGGCGCGTACGGTGCTGACAAATGTACATTCACCTTTAACACCATTATCATTACGGAGCTTCCGTTTCTGTTACCTGCATCTATTGACTTCTTGCATATCTTATCAGGTCGTCCCGCCATCTAATCCAAAACTAAATAATGCTACTAAAAGAAAAGTTAAAGTCTCAGCCTATATACATCCCACAGGTGGGCATAGGCCTCCTCTCATTTCTAAAACGGTTTTAGGGTAAGAAAGTATCCGCCGCGCTGCCCCAATGCGTGTTAGCGAACTTCACATGTGTTCGAATTCTTTTTTCCTTATTACTCAGACATACAGGTAGTTTCAAGGTGTTTTCCTTCACCGCCGAGCACGTGATAAACCAGCACTTAAAATTGCAATTAATTTGTAAAATAAACTTGCTCGCTGTAAATTTGACAGTACTCGAGAAACCCGCGTTTGATACCACATACTACTATACAATTAATTTGTAATTAAAAAAAAAATTGGCAGCCCTAGTTGGAGCAAGCGTTTAATAACTGTGACAGAATAAGAGAACTTTATTAAATACTAGCTGTTTCCCGCGACTTCGCCCGCGTTTTATTGGGGTTTTAATTTTTTTACACGAAACCCTAATTCTTTTTCTAAAATAAAAGCAGCCTAAGTTACTCCTAACAGACAGACAGACAAAAATGTTATTAGTATCGTATATACTTTCATATGTATTTAGTAAAAAGCTGTAAATTTGACATTACAAAGTACAGACACTTCAATTTTATTTATTTGTATAGATATCCTTAATGCTAAGTATAGCTATAGCCCTGCCGCAAGGAAACGCAGCAATATACCGTGGTATTGTATGACCGTTTTACTTTTTATATACATTTAAAAAAAAGCTAATATTCAAGGGACAAATATAAATATACACCATTTGCGGCATTACTCATAATCCTTTACTAATCGCATACTTAATTTTTCCCTTTAACCGCTGCTGGCAAGCTTAAAATGGTGGTGTTAGGAATGGTTCACGACAATAGTAGTAGAAAGGCTCATTTGAACCCACGACATTTTGAATTATCGGTCCTAAAAAACTAAAAAGATAAATAAACAAGAGTAAAAAATGTGCAAAAAATTAAATTACAACTACTGAGGCATTGTTTTGTGTACTCAAATTTTTTTTTCATTTATGGTGAAACTGTAACAAATAACATCACCTCAGTGCCAACTAGCGACATCTGGTGAGATGTAAAATATTAGCCCTAATTAAATAAAACAAAACATTTCTCTAGATTAGATTTATTTAATTATTCTTGCCATTGTTATTATTTATCACCAGCGTGTCGCAGCTGTGATTTTCACTGGCGTTTACTTGATCTATTTGCGCTTCCATTATTTGTCTGACGAAATCCATCTGGAGACGATTCGACACATTTTTGGGGAGCTGTTTCAGCAGTGACACGATATAAGAGCCGAAATGATCTAAGCTGTCACTTTTACTTTCAATGGGGATGTTTTCTCTGATACTTTTATCTGTGACTGCTCCGTTTAAATCACTTTTCTTAGGCGTCACAGTAGTCATTCTGTTATTGCTAGAGAGTCTTTGTTCTTGTTTCTTTCTTATTTGGTCCTCAAACTCCTCAAGGTAAACAGTCTCCATTTCCTCTACGTTTTCGTCCTGAAACCAAACTTTAATTACATTTGTTCTGCTTTCTAGAGCCATGGTTGAGGAACTACAGAAGTTTTTCAAATTCAAATTACAATACCGTCGCGAGGGTGTCGTAAGAAGCAACAGAGGAAAACTGAAACAGGAGATGGGCAGCAAAATCTTCTAAAAACATGCGGTTGCCAACCCACTTGCCGAGCATGGCAACTATAACACAATTTCCCATATAAGGCAATTAATTTGTGAGGCCTATGTTCAGCAGTGGACCTTATTAGGCTCTAATGGATGGGTGGATGAATGATTACCAAATGGTAGAGCATAGTATTACGTGGTAGAGTCATGCTACAGCTATATTACTGATATAGTTGTAGCACGAATGGGTCGGCTCAACCGGGGAAGGACCACATTCTCAAATAATACCAGCGTAAAATGGCAGATTAACACTGTTGTTTCGTATGCTGCGTGTAGACCGGCACAGGCTGTATAAAGACTACGCCAACAGCAGCCTTAGAAGCGATGCTAGAGCTAAACCTGCTTCATCTACATATACAACAAGAAGCGACTTTAGCTGCCATCAGACTGAAGACCCTAAATCTTTGGAGTAAGAATAGAGTCCCTCATACATGCATAATTGATAGGATTCACTCAAAAATTCCTATCTTACAAGCCAAGTACGATAAGATTCCTAAACAATTTGTATTCGATAAGAAGTATAAGATACATTTAAATGAAACCAGCCAGCCGGAAGGATTAAGTCCAAAAGAGCTTAAGAGTTTTCACCGATGCTTCTAAAACAAATGAAGGTGTAGGTTCTGGAACTTTCTCTGTAGACCTCAATATCCACATATGCACACCGCTGGGTACCTATAACACAGTCTTTCAGGCAGAATGTATGGGTATCATTCAAGCGGCCATAGCAATAGATGCTAGGAAGGTTAATGACTTCCCCATCAGAATACTGACCGACAGTAGGGCGGTACTACTCGGGACTAATATATGAATGCCATCAACGATTAAATGAGGTATGTAAAAACAACAATGTGACTCTGCAATGGATAAAGGGACACAGTGGATCCAGAGGCAACGATGCAGCAGACGAACTGGCCAGAGAGGATCGGCTCTGGCCACTATAGGGCCGGAACCAATCATACCAATCCCCTTCGGTAATGTTCGTTCATTGGTACATAGTCACTTCACTAATCTACATGCTCAGCTTTGGAAAAATCTAGTAGACTGTAGACAAGCTAGGGAGGCCCTGCCTGAAATAAACAGTTGTTTAACCAAAGTTCTAATGAGACTGAACAAGCCGCAAATCAGGATAGCAACAAGTGCTATCACAGGACACGGCAACTTTAACAAGCATTTATTTACTGTAGGTGTTACAGATAGTCCCCTGTGCAGGGCATGTATGGAGGAAGAAGAAACGGCGGCCCATGTGATATTGAAATGGCCGGAGGTCGCTACGTACAGGGCTAAACATCTCGGCACGCCGGGATCACTCCCCGAAGTTGCATGCAACATCAAAGGACTGTTGAGCTTCTTCGGGAAAATCTCATAGCTCATGGCACGTGGAGTTGCGGAAAACAGCCCGTCGTAAACTAAACTAAGTAGAGGACCGGAAACCTTCTTTACTGGAAAAGAGGCATTCCATCTTAGTCCTCACGGGTGACAAAGCGTCTGCATTTTGATTTTTTATTGAGGATAGATGTAGATGTTTATGTCACCTTTGTCACCCTATCCTATATATATATCTACACATACAATTCTTTTGACTTTTTGAAAAATATAAGCCTAATCCAACCTTATATGACTTTAAACTGGTGCGTTCTTAGAAAAAAAAATTGTCAAATTGGATAAAGCTAAACTTGGCATCATTATCTATAATGGGAAAGTATTACAAATCTGGTTTCATCACCTGATTGTCATCATCTTCACTGATCGAGACGCACTCCTCCTGCTCGCTCTTGGCATCCAGTTCGTAAACTTGGTCGTCTGTTGACAGCACTATCTGCCTCGACTGGGACAAATTAGTGTAATATAATAAATAAAATAAAAAACAAACATTATAAGGAGCAGCAATCTAATTTATGTGGGAAAGAGAGACAGATAAAGAAAGAGAGAGAGAGAGAGAGAGATAAAGATATATATACTATAGGCGTAAGTGTATAAAAAAACATACTCTTTATTTGCCCCAACATTTTTAACAAGTAAATGAAACCTGGGCTTCTAAACTACTTTATTATAGTGATACAACTACAATAGATTTGGACAACTTACTAACATTAAACAAAAGTAAATACAAATTTACATGGAGAAAAAGAAAAATCAAGGAATGTGAAAATGTGTTGTATGAATAGCGCGAGGGAGAGAGTAAGAGAGAGGTAAGTAGGGAGAGAGAGAGATAAGAGTACTCGTAAATATGTGCGTGTGTGTGCGTGCGCGCGCGCGCGCGTGCGCGCCTGCGTGTGTATGTGTGTGTGTGTGTGTGTGTGTGTGTGTTAAAGAGAGTGAGAGAGAAAGCAAGAGCAAGGGAAGGAGTGGGAAAGAGTAATAGAGTAGGTGTGAGTATGCATACAAAACATATGTTTTATGGAGAGGATAATAGAGTACCGTAAAATGGGCTGAATAGAAATCGCGGGGTGAATAGACATAAGTCTGGTTATTTGATAAAGTTGTCTCTAGGTTTTTCTACAGCTCGGGAACGTCTATTTATTACTACTGTTTATTATTTGCCAACATATTCCCTTTATTTTGGTAACCTTTGAATTAGTGTCAATTTTGATGACAGTAAAGAAAAGGGCGGTTATTATAAACGTGTGAGTGAGTACAAGTGGTTTTATGCTGTGTAAAACTTTTAGTTAAACATCAAGTTCTTCGGTGTTTCCTTGTTGCAAATTTTTTTTTAGGGAGCTGAGTTTCTCATCTATTATTAATACAAATATGAATATCGATATTGAAGGCTTTTATTATTTTAAATAGTAAAATCAGGATACTGGTATTTTTTTGAAATTCGAGGTGAATAGATACGACTGAGGGGTGAATAAAAACGCCTTTGGGGTTAATAGAAACGAAGAAAGGGGTGAATAGATACAAATGAGGGGTTATTAGAAACGTAAAAGGGGTTAATAGAAACATGATTTTTAGGGTTATCAAAAACTATTTGGACCATTTACTTACTACATAAATTAATTTAAGTAGTTAATTGAAACTAAAATTAAAAAAGAAACGTTTAAACCATGTTAAATGTATTTAAAAGTCTTCTATTATAAATACCAAATTTTGATAATTGTTATACATTAAAATTCCAAATACTTGAGATTTTACCATTACACCAGATAGAAGTTCTTGCAGTAAATATACTTAGTGTGCTCATATGATTTAGTTCTATCAAGTAGGTAAATATATCATTAATTATATTTGTATTTTATTGTTTACAGAGACGCTCGGTATACGATTTAAAAAAGTATCTATGCGGTGCGGAATAGGTGTGACGCGAGTTATCAGCTTCAAGTCCCGATATTATATCAATTTACATTTATGTTTTAGTGCTTACATAATTTTATAAATAAGTAGTAGTGATTTTTAATCTCGTCTTGTTACCTACAACTTAAAATAACCAAAGGTTATTAATCAAAACACGTAGTATTATAATTAGTGTTATGTACTACGTACTAGAGAAGCCATTCCAAACAAAAATTGTGTCCTACTCTATGTCTTCGCGCATGTGCGGTAGTAGAAGTCGCGCATGCGCGAAGACTTTAATTTGATATAAAATAAGATATCAATATAAAATAAATATAAGAATTTAATATAAAATATCTTAATTTAATCTAAACAAACATATTTCCAAATAAAATGTAATAATTATTATTTTATGGAATTCACAAATCTTCAATTTACGCAATATTTAGTTTGTACGGATTGTAGTATAGTTCAATTGAACATAGTCAATGTTCGGAATGGCTTCTCTAGTATGTAGTACATATAACTCAATGGTTCAAACTATGTAAGAAGTGGCTTATTTATCTAATGGTTTTATGTCGGAAATGCTTACGCTGCAAAGCAGTTAAAATTACATTACTCTGATATTTTAAATTTATATAATATGGAATTGTATAAATACCAGATTTATTAAATAATTATTTTTTATAATGACAATTTTGATGTAGTTATGTTTTCTTTAATTTGACTCAAAAGTTCACAACCTATATACTACAACAAAAACAAATTTGACAACCCTAGCATTTTTTCTCTATTCACCCCTTTGTCGTTTCAACCCCGGATTCCAGGTATATAGAAACAGACTACTTTTTCTTAAATACAACGAATTTACATGTTTTTACTCGTTTGAAGCATTAGTATTCGATAAATTACAACAAGACTCACAACATAAAGTGTTCGATTATCAGCTTATATACAATATATGTAAGAAAAACATTGTAGTAGTTGAAAGTTATGTCTATTCACCCCATTTTATTGTATGCATGTATGTGTATGTATGAGTGTAAGAATATGTCATGTTTGTGAAATCATATGAATACTCACCTTTTTCTCTACTTCCATTTCTGCTTCCGTGCCGCTTTCCATATTGACCAATTCCTCCCAGGTCTCTAGATGCTTCCTGAACAAGTGGCGCTTCAGGTTCGACACAGACGTGGCGTACGAAAGCCGTTTCTTACAAATCAAGCACAAGGCGATCTTGCTCGTTCTGCTCAAGGATTTGAAGAAGAGCCACGCCTTGGACGGTAGACCTAACCTGGGCTTTGTTAGACTTCTGGGATGAAACGGAGAAGATACTTTTAAATTATTACAGGTTATTAATTTCATATTATTATGCATTTGTAAGATCAGTAATTGATTATCATCCATTCCCCATTTTGTTCCATGAGTACATAAAAAGTTATTATGGTAAGTGCCAGAATTCCATTAGATGAGAGTGTTTAATTGACTGGAGGACTACACTCTTACAGAATACTAACTTGAAATAACAGCTAAATACTGCTGGTTTGATATGGTGAGCCGGAGACCATTTTTACTGGAAACAAGGCATTTCATCTTAATCCTCAGGGGTGATAAGTTGATAATGCACCATTTTGATCAGTTTGGTTTTTAATGGAAGATAGATGTAGACATGTATGGGCCACACCATCCACTTACCATGAGGTTGACTGTATGCTTGTTTGTCACCGTTATATTAAAAAAATTTCACCATCCGTTGGAAGACATAAGATTACTCTGGCATTTTCTATAGTCATCTCTTACACCTACGGAACAAAATGGTATAAACAATATGCTTACTCCAATTACCACACTTTAAGAAAATCTAACTCACCTGGTGTGATTGGTTTGATTGACGGACCTTTTCCTGAAGTCCTTGCCCAGATGTCTGCGAGCGTGTTTCATCAGGTTAGTCACTGATGTCTTGAAGGAGTATGTTTCGTTGCATATTTTGCATATAGCGAGCTTTTTCAATTGGTCACTCACTTCAAAGTAATCCCATGCGGCGCTCCTGCTATTACGACCCCCTTTTGGGGTGTCCCTGTAAGGGGGCTTCAGATTAATATTTTCTCACTTATCATTATTACAAGTTAGTTGGACTCCATGGTGTATGCCACAAATCACGAGTCCTGAGCCATCCATCGGCTTCCTGCATGTCTTATACCAGGTCGTTACTCCATTTAGTGTGGACCAGCCTACATAATGTAATAACTTATAGTTATTAATAATTTATATATACATACTTAGTGTCAATTTCACTATCAGTCTCCTGAAATTCGTCATAAGTCTTGCTAATATCATGCTTCAACAACAAATGCTCCAGCATCTTGTCAACGGATTCTTTGTAAGAGACCACATCCTCACATATATTGCATATCGCTGTTTCTGACAACTCATCCTTTTTGTCAAAGTACTCCCAAACACTGACCGCCATATGGGTTTCTCTAAAATTTAAAAATATATGAAATATTTGTAGCAATTTGGTGGTGGAACTTAGAAGATATTTGTAGTTATATTCATTACAGCCTATCAAAAGTCCACATAAGTCCACTGCTGAACATAGGTCTCCACATAGCTTGCATCATAGGGGAATTACATTCAATCGCTTTTATTTTCTTCATTATTGTAAATATTTCGACTTAAATCCGGAAGAAAACAGCCTCACTCTTGCAACGCTTACGCAATAGTAGTAACAGCATCCTTAAAGCAATATCTGTAAGATATGACTGTCCCATACAGAATCACTGGGTGGACATAGTCATATGATATGTAACTTATTAAATGTATTCAACTTGACCAAAACAATTAGACGCATGACAGGAATGCGTCTTCGGTGCCCACATCCTGTCTCTATCCCTGCGCTTCCCCTAGTGACCAATCACTGTTCCGTTTTCCCTCCCTAGTTCTAATGACATCTTAGCTGTCATACGCCTAATTGTTTAGGTCGTTTAGTAGAGGGCTTATTCGCAATAACCTAGTTTAGCATTATTGACATCCATTACAGCTTGTAAAGTCTGCTGCTGATCATATATCTCCCCGTAGATTAACTCATAAGAAGGACAGTTGCCACCACTGGTAGGTACAATCACAGGATGATATGGGTAGTGCATATTCTTACACTGACATGTCATAGTCATGGTTATGACATGTAATTACATATCTATAATATCATAAAATGTAGCAAGTGATTCTATTTGTAAACCTTTTGCTTTAAGCATTGTTGGGTTATATATTTTTAGTAAAAATGTTGAATTAAAACACTAGTTAAAAATCACAGTTTTCATGTCTATCTATTCAATACATTTGCAACCAATTATAATTGCCATCTGTAAAAAGTTTGTTTCTGAGCTAAAACATCATAATAATCATCATCAAAAATCATCATTTTAAAATAGTATAATTTTACATAGAAAATTTAAAAAAGGTATTTTTTTAAATACTTTAATCTAATTTGTCCTCATTAAAATTGATAACTGCAAGAGACATACTATCATATCTGATATAACATTCATGTGATAATAACATTTGCTGTAAGCTAGGTAGGTATGATATACCCAATTTGCCTTTGTTATTGGCAGAAGTTCAGTTGGACCCCAAACTGGTATGACTAGTATTTACATAAAAGTTGCCAGTAATATATCCTGCATTGTAGGGCACAGGCCTTCTATCATTTTTGCGTTTCTTATAGCAAGAAAGTGTCTGCCATGCTACCCCAATACATATTGTTGGACTTCACATGTTTTCGAAACACTTTTTTAAAATTTCTCAGATGTGCTGGTTTCCTTACAATGTTTTCATTTGCTCTGAGCACAGGGTAAATCAGTACATAAATTGCAAGTAACAACTGAACCAAACAAACAAAAATTTACAGCAAGCAACTAAGCTACCAATGATTTATGGTTCTAGTAGCCACATATTTATACCTTTCGCTAGTGTAATTGAAAATAGACCAATGAATGAAACTTACTCAACCACCTCATATTCTACAGTAGAGTCTTCATCCTTTTTCTCAGTGTCAGCATCTTTCTGAAGAGTGATCGAATGGGCGAGTAATAAGTGATCTAAGAGTTGATCCTCATTTTCTTTGTATGAAAGGATCTCTTCACACTCTGTGCAACTTGCCAACTTATCTTCTGCGCTCTTTATATTAAAATAATCCCATGCTTGAGTACCAGTACGCATTTTGTTATCTTCTGGTGCATTTTCTCTAAAATGAAATTAAAAACTATGTGTATGATAAACGACAGTTCATTTCATGTGACTTTATAATTTATCTATTTACAATATGGCAATAAGTGCTTATACGAACTTACTTTGATTGCTCGACCACATACTTCCTAACATTTTCATCAGCATCGGAGCTTTTTGAAATCACTAATTTGTGCTTGTATTTCAAATGTTTCGCTAGATTAGTTACGGAGGTTCGAAAGGAATATACTTCCTGACATATATTGCAAGTGGCAAGCTTTTTTTCTTCATCTTTGACATCGAAGTAAAGCCAAGTTGGACTTTTAACTTTATTTCCCTCCAAAACAATCACATCGCTACAATAAAAATAGATACGCTAGATTAATGGATATTTATAGGGTAAGATAAGTATTTTGAAGTAAGTGATATTGATATTTAACATACCGATAAATCGCCATGTTCTGTTACGGCAATACGAAATGCGATGCGTTGCGCTCAGCGGTCAGCGTCATGCGTCGTAAGCACAGAATATAAAACGTACGAAACGTATTACGAGAAGACACGACACAATAGTTACAAGTTGAGGACTTATGGGAGCGAGAACATGAGCCCTGGCCGATTGCTGCTCCTATTGTTTGAAATAAATTTTAAAGTGCATTTTGTTGTGTTATAAATGCCTGTGCATGTAAACTATTCGAAGAAAAGGGTGAAAACAAATGCTCCGATAATGATTGCCTAAAGATATTGGTATACCTATATTATTGTTATCGACCCTACTGTGATAATCTTCCAAAAATGTTATGCGATGTGTCAACGTTATGTGAAGTAAAATTATATTTGTATACAGGCGTTTTATGTATTCCGTTATGACAGAAAGCCTTGTAGCCACTGCCAAAATAATAAAAAAAAACATTCAAGATAAAAGGAACGCAGATCCATGTAGGTATAATAATAGCAATAAAGCATATTATAGTGTGTGTATTAAATATCTCTATCTATTCACTACGTTTTAAGGGCTTATTACATTATTCAATTTTTAGGAAATCTAATTAGGAAATTGGAAAGTGTAATCATAGTTAGAACAGTTAGGATCCGATTTAGTTAAAGTTGGAGGTCGCGACCGCTCTACTTTCTAAATTGTCTACAATTTAGGACAGTGTAATCGCAACGTTACGATTTAGAACGAGCACAGTGTGACCATATGTGGCAGGTTCCTGCCATTTTGGCAGGATTGGTCTCTTATTTTAGCCTTTGGCATGATCAGTTGACGTTTTATAAAATCTGGCAGTATTTGGCAGTATTGGGGTATTAAAAATAGATTTCATTATTTTACTTAAAATGCCGAAAATGGGAAACCTAGATATTTCGCCAGTATGTGGGGAACTTCCCTGTACTTCTCGTATTATATTTGTATCACATTCAATAAACAACTTTAATAGTTTGTATGTAAAGTTGATTATCTTAAAACAAGTATTCAAAACTCGAGTTTATGAATAAGTCACAGAAGGACGAACTTTATTCGCATTAGATTTCATGATGATAATATCTTGTTAATAATATTTCATGGACAAAAGTAATTATAGGTGGTGGCGATGAAGTGAAAATATGAAATGGCGTATAGAGTGGAGTGGGAGCAAAATCCTTCACTTTCGTCGTGGATCTCTAAAGCTAAAGATGATCCAGACTATGTAACTGCAAATTGACACCCAGCTGTCCGCTTTAAAGAAGCATGCCGCTTAAAAGTAAACATCAAAAAATATGAGTGGATTCAGTATGCGAAAGAATATTCTCTCAAATAAATTTAATTAAGACAAAAACACGAAACAGATTTATAAATAAACATTTGCGTCTATGTTGCTCGTTAAACAAGGCATTGGTGAGCATGGCGATTGCATTGCATTCAAATCAACGAAAGATATGTTTAATTTTAATTAAATAAAAATATAGCAATTAAATATGTAATTTTCATTTTCATTTAATACAATGGTAAATAAAGTTGACAGTATTTAGGCATTTTTCACTACAGACTTTGGCTGGATTTGGCAGGTTTTTAACCAAAGTAAGGCAGGATTTGTATTTTAAAGATGGTCACACTGAACGAGCAGTCGGCGCCCGCGCTTCGACCTAAGTGGATGTCTTCACTGCGCGTGCGACATTTTATTGCGATGGCGAGTGAAGCGACAGAACTGAGCAGTGGTTCATGTGGCAGCATGTCCACAGAAAAAGAGGTGTTATTACAAATTATAGACCTGTATAGGGTAAATGCCCAATTTGTATAATAAAAATGATGAAAACTATTTAAAAAAAGCAATGCGTGAAGAGGGCTTCAAGGTGTTGTTAAATATTTACAAATACAATGACAAGTATTCCTTAACCCAGCATATTCTCTTTTTTCTTTTTTTAATATCCATTATTCCCACCACGGCTAAGGCAAGTCCTATTTTCTGCTGTTTTGATAAATACGGCGCCATCGATCAAACGTGCAACCCCGTCGATACTTCTTTTACGAATGTGCTTCGTCACGATTTACAATTCAATTTAGTGTAATGTGATCACTAGCTTCCAATTTAGGTTCCTAATTAGATTTTCTAAAAATTGGATAATGTAATAAGCGCTTTAGCCACCGGCGGAACGGAGGGGAGTAGCCATAGCGTTTTTCCCCTGTCACTACGGAACTCACACATAAGTCATAAAAAATTATATCAATAAACTCTCAATTTCACACACATATTGATACAATATAACATTGCTCGGTTACATCTGCATATTTTATGAGGATGAACCGGCCTGAGTTGGTAAGCAAATCCAAAACAACACGACTGTTATTATTGTAATCATTATGTTAAAAATTGTAAATAGCAATAATGTGATTAAAAAAGGTCTTTTTGTAAATTCGACGTTGCAGATCTCGTTTAGCAGCAATAAACTAAACAATCTGCATTTTTGTATTATGTCAATTCAACCCCTCAACCTGATTTAGTATACTCAGTGAGCAGTGCTGCTGCAACTATGTAGTTTTACGGTATGCATAAGGTCACGTGGACTTATACTTTAACAGCGGGGAACGCCTGCGTATGGCTACTCCTCTCCGATCCGCCGGTGGCCTGTGTTGCTCTATGTATCATCGGAAAGAATTCAATTTAATAAGAAAACGTTATTATATTTCTCATTAATTATGTTAACAAATCTTTGCAATGGCACGCAAATTGAAAATGAACCTGGACAGAGACAAATCATACCAGACTTATGAATATTTATATTTAGACAAAATTTATGCTTCTTAATTGATTCTTTATGACAAAGTATGACGGGCTGTAATAATCACTGCTATTATTGTGATCGCATAATTAAATTTCTCCTGAAAAATATCATAGATAAATAATATATTTAAAATATCAGTGCTATCAAGATTTGAGGGGGACGTGACTGTAGCATTGAGTTATATATGTACTACGTACTAGAGAAGCTATTCCAAACAAAAAAATATGCGCTACTCTATGTCTTCGCGCATGCGCGGTAAATAGTAGAGTCACGCATGCGCGGTTTTTGTCATCAATAGGTTATAATATTACGTAGGTAGAATGATCAGTATGTAATAAGTAATTTTTTATTTTGATTGTATTGTAAATTATATCGAGTACAATTTCTTTTGTTATTTATTTTGCATTTATGTGTTAATTTAATATAATATAACATAATATTATGACAGAATTATGTACATTTTAATGATATTTTATTTAATACTTTAAAAGGTAAATAAAAATATAAAAATATGATTTATTTTCAAAGATCATTATTATTACTTTTCTAGAACTCTTTAACGTATTTATACGCAGCTGGTGAATAATAGTGTAAAATCAATGCGAATTTACGTTAAGGTGCATGCAGTGTATTAACAAATAAAGCGTGCTCTGTTTATTCTTTTTCATTAAAGATTCATGTAACTCCACAACTTCTGCCTTAGCCATTAAATCAATCTCAGCATTTAATTTTTGTTTAAAATTTTTTAAAAACCGAATTTATGTTTAAAATTTTGTCCAAGAAGCGTATTTTTCTTTAGATAAATATTTTGGCTTTGTATTTTCTTAAATTTCTCAGTAAGTTTCTTTCTAGCTGCAAATTCCTAGCTATTAAATACAAACACAATATTACAACGAGCTCATATTTTATTATTTTTATAATGACCTATAATTATTGGTTCCGTTACTATATTTAAAAACTTAGGCTTCATATACATCACTCAAATTAGACTTAGGAGACATTACTTGCGTAATTTATTTGTAAGTACAATTTTGTTCGGACTATCAAAAATTTAATTTGAACTACTTATTGATTCAGATACTTCGTCAGTTCTGATACTTCCTGTTCACCACATTTTGTTGGCTGAAAAAAAAAGATACTAATTATTTGGGAAGCCTGTAAAACTTCTAGTGTTAGAGTATTAAAAAACCGCCATATACTAGTGTGACTCGCGCGCCGAGGGTTCCTCCTCTTTTAAGTCCCGTAAATATACTGAACATTACAAAAATTTCGTTAGACGTCTAATCATAAAATAAAACTAAAATCCCAGCAATGTTATATAATAATATAATTACGTTATCGCATGGTACTGCTGATTTCTGAATTACATTTAAATCATATTTTTATTTTAATATTTTAAAAGGTAACTATGTAAAATATGAAAAAAACATAATGTATTTGTAAGTAAACTTATTGATATAACATATAATTTACAAATATATTTATTAAAATTAGAATATGAGTCGTTCAGGAATGCTGGGCACGCGAGAGTTAAAAAATTGATGAATTTAGTCCATTTTGCCTGTTTTTATGGCTTGGACGTGGAAACCTAAAAATAAAATAAAAGAATAACCAGCAAATTTAAATATCAGAAATTTAGCCTAATTATGAATACTTCTATTTGTTTCGACAAAATAAAAACAATATATTATATTATGCATAATTATTCTCAGACTTAAGTACCTACAGAAACGTCGCATCTGAACAAATTAATTTCATAATCTATATTTCATGACCCGATATGGCGTCTTTTGAATAATTTGTTTGATTAATTATTAATCTATAATACTTTTTATTGAGTATTTTATTCACCGATGAAAAGTTATTCCTTGGTATTTGCTAACATTTCTTGAATTATTTGTGCAATTTCTAAAACACACCATGGCGTATTTTATCAAGAATTTTTTTTATATAATCAATACAGCATGTGTCAACTCACTAGCGCCTAGCGAGCGACTGAGTAAAGTGCGGCAATATCACCACAATTGAATGGAACACGTAACATAATGCAGTGTCGCCTCTAGTACGTAGTACATAATAGCTCAATGTAGTAGTAGCTCAGTAGTAGCTTTCTTTTTTTAAACTGAAAATAAAAACATACTTATAATACAAAGTCGATGTGAAAATTTCGTAAATATATTGTAATGTGGAAAATAATATCAA